TGTGATGTGACCCTGTTCCCCTCACACACACGACGCGTTACTCTGCGTTGCGCAAAACTTCGCATTTGAACAGTCAATAGCAAATACTTAAACTAGTAACAAAACATATTTACAGTCGCTGATTCAAAAGCCCCAGATTGTCATAGCAAAGTCATAATTTACCCTTTTTCCCCCCATTTTTTTTTAGAAATAGCGTTTGTGCACAGCCAGACTCCTACTCTTATAGGTTCAAAAAACTGTCGTCCATAAAATGAGTTGCACAAATTCGAACATCTGGGTTGTGCTGTTCTGTTGTAAATAAATCTTAAACAATGATTCCTAATTGCATCTACTTCCGGAAGGCCAAATAAAGTGCTTTTGCTTTCGCACTGAAACACACACCGTCTCCCTGACATGCTGTATCAACACTACTGCTGTTCCTGAAACCATGCCTTCTTTCTTTGCGTGCACATTTGGGCGGCATTATGCTAATATTTCCACATAGTGACGTAGATATGTGGGGGCGTGTTAGAACGAGCCGTTTTAGGTAGGCGTGGTTGACTCTTAACTTTTATAAAGAATATATCTTTGGATTTGAGACTTTAGTCTTTGCAACTTTACAGATCTTCTTTATGCACCAAGAGCTTGTAACACTCCAAAGAGAAAGGAAAACTTGAAATCGCATCATATGACCCCTTTAAAGTCCATGAGACCATAAGGTGTCCCATTTGTCATTTTATGAATCAGCAAGCTATGCAGCATTACGTATGTGAAGTGTAGACTTAGAAGAAGACTCCAAGGGATGAGGGCAACATTTGAGACAGGTTCCTTGTCTTTATAGAAAACTTTCTGCACTCTAGCCATTTAGCCTATGTAAGTATGGCCACAGACAAGATAAAAGGGAGAGACAGAGAGAGAGAGAGTGAAGACAAGTCAGGTCAGTAGGGATTCCGATCAAACTATTAATTCTGGGCTGTTGCTTAGCAACTAGCCACACTAAGATTCTGAGCACTCCACGCAGATCTCATTAAACATTTAAATGGAGCAGAAGTGGCAACCAGTGACCCTCAATTGGCTTTTAATATGCAGGATGAACGAGTGATTCATGTCAGGCTAACACCTAGTATTATTACTTATTACTATGTACAGCATTTTCTTTTAGTATTTAGCTAAACATCTATTCATCCATCCTCCCAGGGCAAAAGAACAAACCTGCGTAAGACGAGCTCGGATCGCATCAACCACGGAATGCGTGTGCACTTTAACTCTCTGGCTCTTCTGTTGGACTCCTCTTTAGAGGGCGAGTATGACCTCGTCCAGAGGATCATATATGAGGTAAGGAACAGGCCAAGATCAGTTACATACTTGGTCCACTAGTGAGTAATATAACTAGACATATAGGTATAGCTAGTTAGCATTTCAAGTATATGTCTCAATGTCATATCCAGGTAGAAGACCCCAGTTTACCCAATGATGAGGGCATCACTGCTTTGCACAATGCTGTGTGCGCTGGACACGCGGAAATCGTAAAGTTCCTGGTGCAGTTTGGAGTGAATGCGAATGCCGCAGACAGCGATGGATGGTGAGCGAAAAACATTTATGTAAACCCAGTAAAATTCTGTCCATAAGTTGAATACAACAAAATTAAACGTCTCTTTCTCTCTGTTAGGACTCCCCTGCACTGCGCTGCTTCTTGTAATAACGTGCAAGTATGTAAGTTCCTGGTGGAATCAGGAGCTGCTGTATACGCCACAACCTACAGCGATATGCAGACAGCGGCAGACAAGTGCGAGGAGATGGAAGAAGGTTATGCCCAATGCTCACAGTTTCTCTATGGTGAGAAACCTGTTCTCTCATTATGAAACTTTACGAAAGAGGACTTCTTGTAGCTCAACTGGTAATTTATCGCAATAAATCTGTAGCGTTGAGGTGTTTTTTTCACAGGTGTGCAGGAGAAGATGGGCATCATGAACAGGGGCATTGTTTATGCCCTGTGGGACTATGATGCTGAGAGTCCGGACGAGTTGTCCTTTAAGGAAGGAGACTGCCTGACCATCCTACGAAGAGAGGACCGTGAAGAAACAGAGTGGTGGTGGGCGAGATGTGCTGACAATGAGGGCTATATACCTCGCAACCTCCTCGGGGTGAGGAAATACATTTTTTTTAAGCTTTCTCCTCGTCATTTAATCTTGGACATCCTTTTTTTTACTACAGATTGCTCATATTTGTTTTTCTTCTGTAGTTATACCCCAGAATCAAGCCCAGACAGAGGAGCCTTGCATAAACTCTCCAAATCAGCGCTTATGTGCCTGGAGTTTTGTCTATCATTTCAACAGTCACTTAGTTCTGCAGAGCAAAAGGACATTTTGAAGATGAACGCATTACATTTACATGGTGAAGAAAATAAGAATAGTTTCATGTTGGTATGTTATACATGTTTTTAAGGTTAAAAGCTTTGGTAGAAAAGGTAGACATAGATGCATATTTCAGAAGCAGTTTCAAGCATGTATAGTAAAGTGAAAGAGGAATGAAGAATTTATGAATGGTACAGATGCATTAATAGTCATCTGAGTATTATATCTCATATGAAGGATGTCAGATTTAGTAGTGTAATTTTTCATCTTTTTGAACAAAGTTTCTGTATTCACAAATGCTGATTTGTTTCACAAAGTGCAAAACAAAAAGCATTCATCTTTTGAAGGAAAATAAAGAGTTTTATATAATTTTTTTTTCCTGTTTATTTTATTCATAATGCCATGTTATGTAAACCTATTCTTATGGTGCTTGCTGCTATGCTACAACAGTGTGTTCTGTGAACAATTAACAATTTATTGCGCAAAGACAGCTTTCATTTATCATAATAAAACTTGTCAAAACTCTTGGCTCACTGTTTTTGTCTTTTTCCCATTTGGTTTCTATGAGACTGTTTCTGGTTCAAAAAACATTTATGGTAATACATTTACAATGGAAGTCTATGCAGCAAGGCATTGCACTGGAATAAGCTTTAACATTGAAAAATACCGTTTCAAAAGTATAGAACCAAGACCAAACCAGGTAACCTACAGGCAAAATGCATAATCACTGTATACCATAAAAATACAAGCTTCACATTTCTGCAGATACTTGCCCTATAGACTTCCATCACAAGTGCACTGTAAACCCATTTTGTGTTATTTTTTAACTGTCCCAAATATGG